ATAAACTGATTATTTACACCCCTCTTTTTCTTTACCGTGAACGTGCGACCCTCTTTTCGGGTATAAATCGAAAAAAATCGATCGTACAAAAAAAAACAGAATTGTAGGAAATTTAATTTTAAACAACTTTGTTTATAACAATTTTTCTCGTAAAATTGAAAATAAACGAGTTATTCTATAACCAAAAATTCACCCCCTCTTTTCGGGTATAAATCGAAAAAAATCGATCGTACAAAAAAAAACAGAATTGTAGGAAATTTAATTTTAAACAACTTTGTTTATAACAATATTTCTCGTAAAATTGAAAATAAACGAGTTATTCTATAACCAAAAATTCACCCCCTCTTTTCGGGTACAAATCAAAAAAAATCGATCGTACAAAAAAAAAAGCAGAATTGTAGGAAATTTAATTTTAAATAACTTTTGTAAAAACTATTTTCCGTGTAAAATTGAAAATAAATGAGTTATTCAAGATACAAAAAATAACCCTTTAAATCAAGATGGCGGAGGTAACGACAACTTTGGAATCCCAACTTTTTGAATTTAGACTACCAGAGACCCCCTCCAACGAATTCCGAAGGAAAATTGCTGCTTCCAATTTTTCAGAATCTAAAATACTAATCCGATTGGGCTATAAACAGCCCAACTTTGTAGAGGATCAAGATTATTTATTTTAACAATGAATAAATATACAACAGTATCGGAAACAAAACATTTACCATATAAACCCAAATCTCAGAAGAGATCATTATAAATATATGACCATATAACTAACAGAGAATGCACTACACTACCAGTTATTCCACTCTTCTTGACTTGACTAAGCTGTTAATTTTAGAAAATTAGTATAAAAAGAGTAAAAAAAAGAAATAAAAGTCTGAATATTTAACTTGCAATACAAATTTTTTACCACTGTTAAACAAATAAAATGCATCTTCTGCATCCCGTGCTCTTGAACCAAAAGAAAATAGTAATAAAAATGATAATCGCATTAATATTAAGATTTATTAACTCTATTACGTTCAATATGATAATTCTAGTTAGGACAAAAGGTCCCCTTGTTCTGTTTAAATATCTTTATCTACTTAAATCAATTTTGCGATTAAGAGGAATCCTTCCCAATGGTCTATAACAAAGTATCGGAATTAACAATCTTATTTACGTCGAAACAATTAATGATTGTGTTTATTTTAATTAAGCATTTAGAAGAAAATTGGAATTGAAAATCCATTTTTGATTTAATTTACCGTCTATAATTCACCCTATAGAATAATTAACACATTGTTCTCTATCTGTAACGTGTGGAGGGCGGGTTACCCCCATGGCACTTAGGCCTTATTAGGCCCATTTTGCATCCTCCTAAGACGATAGGCACTTCCAAGCTCGTGAGCCAACCTACAGATTTAATTTAGTTGACAACGTCGCCAAGAGTTGCTTCTCTTATATCGGCAGGTGTTAGCCGATACTCGCCGAACATAAATCTCCTAATAAATGAGAGCGTCGAGCAATCGTAGAGGATATGCTCGATGGTCTCATCTTCTTGTTCGCACTCTCTGCAGAGTGCAGATTCTGACTGCCCCATGATATGGAGATGCTTTCGTACTTGGCAATGACCAGTCAGAATGCCTGTGACTAGGCACAGATTCTGTCTAGTCATAGTCAAGTATTTGTTTGCTGCAGTGTTGTCAGGATAATTTAAGAGCTCCCTGGCAACTCTGCAGTTTCTTGTTTCATCCTTTCTTGCCTTGAATTTCACAAAGGAATGTTCTTTAATTAGTTCTGTCACTACCGATTTTGTCAGGCCAATAGAAGGGCCAGGTCCAAAAAGTATTTGGTTGGCTGCTTTCTTGGCCAGTGAATCAGCAAGACGGTTACCTTTCGATGTGGCGTGACCTTTGCTCCATCTTAAGGTGACCACGTTGTTGATGGATACTTCGGTCAAAACTTCGTGACATTCTAGTACCAATCCTGAATAAATTCTTGGTCTGTTCAGGGTGAGTAGTGCTTGTCTACTACTTGTATAGATGAGCATGTGATATTGTTTCTGGTGATTTATTTTGCTGCTATGAGAATATCTGTGAACTATGTTTGAACTACACTGGCACTATTGCTCACAGCCCATTTTATGTTAAGGTTTAAGGATCTGGAGTATATTCTACATCCTGAGCTTTGTTTTGTTTTAGAACCGTCGGTGTAGATATGAATCGTGCCTGCCACTTCTGGCTCTTCTATTTGTTCTGTTACAATTTTATATGGCTTATGGAAATTATATCTCGGTGAGATGGAGTCCATGTTCGCTTGAAGGAGTGTGATGAAACGAGCACCTCCTGCAAAAAGCCACGTCTCGCCGCACCAGATCCTACATCAGGTTATATTCCAACCGTGCGGAGGCATGTCATTGTCGTCAGAGCAACCTTCTTGATGTAAATATCAAGAGGAGTGAGACTAAGAATGACTTCCATGACCCTGGTCTGTGTTGTTTTCATGGCTTCTGTTACATTGAGACGTGCTGTTCTTTGAATTTGTTCTGGTTTACGGGTAGCTGTCAATTTTTGGGTTTTCGATACCCAGACAACTGCACCGTATGTTAGCATAGGTCTTATGATAACAGTGTATGTCTATGCGGCGACTCTGGGGGAGAAACCCCAGGTGCGCCCCACGGTTCGCGGCATTTTCATAAGCAATGTATGCTCTTTTGACTCTGTTTTCTAAATGCGAGTTCTATGTTAAATTGCTGTCAAAGGTGAGACCTAAGTACGTCACCTCTGTTGCAAAGTTTAATTTTGTGTTTAGGAGTTCTGGAGGTTTTAATTCCATTTTCATCCTTTTCGTTGTAAAAAGGACCATTTCAGTCTTCTTAGGATTGATAGACAGTGAATGGTCCTTACACCACTGTTCTATAATTTTGAGAGCTATGTTCTCAAAATTCCCTGTTTGCAGAATGACCAGGTCATCTGCATATGCTATTGTGTAGTGACCGTCATTATTGAGGGGGCTGATAAGGGTGTCGAGAACCATGTTCCACAGTAGAGGTGACATCCCCTCGCAACTAAGCTTCTTATATTCACATCTTCTACACTTATGTTATATATCTACCCACTAACCATCTGTGGAACATTCCTGTTGGTTAGTGAGTGTATTATCTTGGGGAAGGTGGTTTTATCAAAAGTACCTTCTATATCTATGAAAACACCCAAGGTGGACCCCTTATTGCCAGGGATCTCTCTATCCAGCCAGCAACTAGATGAAGGGCTGAATCAGTGGAACTGCCTGGGGTGTATGCATGTTTGTTTGGGTGTAGTGGTGTTGTTGTAATCACCGCATCCCTTATGTACCTTTCGTATAGCTTTCCAATGTCTTCATGGAAAACGATGTTAGACTAATTGGTCGGCATATTTTTGGGACAGTGTAATCCATCCTTCCAGGTTTGGGTGTGAATACCACTTTTACTTCTCTCCATTCTTTGGGGATATACCTCAGAGCTAACGTGGATCTGAATATGCCTACCAGGTGCGGTGTGAGTTCTTTCAGATCCCACTGAAGTAGTAGAGCTGGATAGATACCATCAGGTCCTGAATTTAAATGGAGAGAAGCTGGATATTGCCTATCTAATTTTTTTATTGTCTACAATGTGTGTGGCAGTTTGCCAACATAGATAAGTTGTATTCTTCATCTGCCCAGTCGGTCACGTCTGTGATGAAAGAGTCAGGGAAGTGTATTGACAGCAGAAGCTTGATGCTATCTTCGAGGTTAGCAGTTTTCGTGCCATCCTCTTTGATAAGCGCACCAATGTCTCGGTATAAATCTTTTGAGAGAGCTTTTTGAAGCCTCGCTGCCTGCGGGAAATCTTCGATTTCTTCGTAGTAGGATCTCCATGCATCTCTTTGTTTTTGTCTGACGATTTTGTATTCTCTGAGGTGAGATTTGTAAGTATCCCAGTCCTCTTTCAGTTTTGTGGTTCTTGCCTTATTAAAGGATTTCCTAGCCATCTTCCTGAGGTGATCCAACTCGTGACACCACCATGCAGTAGTCATCTGATCGTGTTGGATCAGTCTCAGGGGGCAGGATTTCTTATAGGCATTGTTTATTGTGCTTTGGATAGTGTTCGAGTACTTTTCCAGAGCATTATTATTGTTTGGTCTTTCGGCCTCCACCTCTCTCTAAGCCTCTTGGAGAAGGTGAGCATTGGTTACCCTGTCCGTCTAAATAGGGTTCTGAGATAGCCTGTAAGTCGGCAACATCAAGTTTATTTTGAATGCTAATTAGCAGTGGTCTGACATCTACTGCGATTTTTTTAATTTCCTTCTTTCAGAAAAATGTTTAATAACGTTCCACATTTTTTGCTTATTTGATTTTTATATTCATCGTATTTAGCTTGTTTTTTACCAGAATAAATAAATACATTTTATCAAAGCGGACTTTCGAAACCTTAATAATTATTATGAGAAAGAGTTGTAAATTTTATTTAAAATCCACGATTTAAACTTACACTTAATAGGACGGTTAAATTTATAAAATATTATTAAAACGCATACAATGTTTAGAGCATAAAATATTTTGTAACGAAGAAGAATTCGGTACGGCTATGCAAATCAGGCGGTTGAAAGCAAATCGTACCTTTTTGTTAAAATATTCAACTCATATTAGATAAAAATAATAGTTTTTAATAATACTTTAAAAAAAAACTGCAGGTATAATTAATTAGTGGATGAAGTTATTCGATATTTTCTTTTAATATTAATCCGCTGTAAAATATATTTAATTATAAAAATTAATTTACCGTCATCCGAGTTTATGATTTGTACAAACCCTCTTAAGTCACAACTTTCTTCTTACTGATAAACGGTATAATTCAATCTACTAGTTTATAAATTCGCCTTATAGAGTACCTACTAACTTACCAACGTTTTTGGTGTAGTGCAGACAATCGACCAGAGTTTATTCGCACAAAAATGAATTACTAATTGTAAAACATAAACAAAATTATTTTCGTCTTTCAGAGGTTACTCGCGTAATCTTAGAAGGAAATCAGTACTTAGTCCAAGAATGTTGAAACCGCCAGGTGATGATTTGGAAGCTGCGGCTAATTCCCCAGCCAATTCCATAACTTCCGTTAATTCAATAGCTAGTTTACTTAGAGAAAAAATTCAGGTGAGTTTACCAAATTTTATTAAATGCAAAGTGTTTCTTTTATAGCGTCAGTTCCTCTATAGACTAAAAGCCGGCCGTATGAAATCGAAGAGGGCAATTATTATATAATTTATGGAAAAATAATATTAATTAATTGCTAAACACCAAAGCAACATTGCTATGTCGCGGTTTAACATATCCTTTAAAATAACAACGCATTTCCAGTACAACAATTTTAAGGTTAACCAAGCAGGTGACCCGTTAAATGCGCCCCGACAAATGCACTTTCCTGCATAATCTCCCACGACATATACTCTACCAGTGGCGGCTGGTGGTAAAAAATGTTGGGTGTTCTGTAATTTTTGTAAAAAAAGTTTACCTTTCAGCAGTTGGTTGTCTTCTTAGTCAAAGTCCCATCGATTTTTTCGTGCTTGCTGAATGATGAATTGTTGGAACGACTGCCACACAAAAAAAAAAGAATCGCCAATCACTACAGGGTGTCCCAACGAAAAGTAGCCCATTTCCAGAGCTTATAACTTTTAAACAAATCGTAAAAACGTGCGGTTGTTGCTGATATGTGTTATTTTGCTATAATTTTTGCTTCAGTGACACAAAAATTATGTATTACCTATACAGGGTGTTTTTTAAAAATCTCTTGTAAATTCACCGTAACCAAATTTTATCAAATGGAAACGGGCTACTTTTCATTGGGACACCCTGTATTTTACTGTACTCTATTTTCTTCAAGAAAAATACAAAATGTTTAAAAAAATGACGTGAACAATTTAAGCAGATCAATGTTGTGCGATTTTACAGTCTATTTTTTATAAATTAAGTCTATCCTACGTTCTTTTTGGTTCGCAAATTTTGTAATAACTTTTTTATTAAAATTGTCTATTTCGGAAGTAAACTTTTTTCAATAGATAGCATGGAAAGAGCTGTTAAACGATCTCCGGTAATTGAATTTCTAAGAAACGTTTTGATTCGATTTAGTGTTAAGAAATATAATTCGCCCTCTGATGTTTTCATAGGAGTTGTTACCACAATTTCTAATAATTTTCTAATCTCCTTAGATTGTTTGATATTAAAAATTTTAGTAGAGGTAGTGCGCCATTCAATGCCCTGCAATCATTTCTTGAATAAATAACAGACAGTTTAGTTCGCAATCGTTCTTTGTCAAGTGTGGGATAAAAAGAGCATGCGGAAGTGAGTTTATCCTCGGGAAATTCACTATAAAACTCTCCAAAGCATTCCGAAAAAAAGTGAGGCAACTACTAGATGCTCTTTAAAATCAAATCGATCTTTTGCACAATTTAGGATAACGTCACACACCTCTAAATTAGAAATCTGGTGATCAAATCTGCTGTTACCTGGGCGCTTGTGTTTATTTTCTGGTGGCTGATCGCTTATTATATCTGATGCTTCAGTAATGATGCTATCAATATTATTTCGAACTTGAGTGATACTGCGTTCAAAATTATCGATAGCGTCTTTTAGTAGAGTAGGTTCAATTTTTCTTTGCTGCAATTGATTGAATAGGATGTCTACGTGGGGCATCACATGATAAAAAAAGTCAGCCAAAAATTGAAGAGGCGGCTGCACTACAGACTGTGTTGTTGGTGAATTGTTCTTCTATTTCATGCATACACTCAATGAGAGACGCTCTATTGTCTTGTATATTTCCAAAAAATACACGTTCTTGCGAATTTGCAGAAGCAGCTTTAGACATAATTAAATTTAACTGATGGGCATAGCAATGTACATAGTGAACAAAAGGATACTTTTTTTTAAATATTGCTTGAACTTCTGCTTGTTGGCCGCTCATCACCGCGACTCCATCATAACTTTGTGCAATCAGTTTGTTCGGTGAATTTTGAATTAAAGGATCTATGATAGTTAAAATTGTTTTAGTAAGTGTTTCTGCATCAAATTTTTCATGAATTAAGTAGTTCCAAAAATGTTCAATTGGCTCACCATTGCGAACATATCTAAATATAACTACCAGTTGAGTTTTTGCAGCAACATCCGTTGTTTCGTCCGCCATGATCGCCAAAAATGGAGAATTATTAATTTCCTCAATTATTTATTCCTGACAAGACATTGAGCATACACTGTAACAGATCGTTCTGTATTTCTTTATAGGTGCCTTTAAATACCGAAAAAAATTTTAGGTGGTCACTTAGAGTTGCATCCAATTCAGCCGAGTCCACGAAATATCCCGGATTCTCGGAAGAATCGCTCTCATCTTCTCCCGAAGAGCCAATTCAAAAGATCCACAAAACTTAATGTAATTAATAATTTTGGATAAAATATACCTATTATTTGAAACATTTTCATTAGGTCTCTGTATATTTAACCAATAAGCAGAATCTAATTGAGCCATAATATTAGTTGTCCCTAGCAACGAAAATTCTATGCAATTATGAAGATGGCTTTTAGAGTTTTCGTGTTTTTTTATCTTTAAACTTAAGTGTTCTAGATCGGTGACCCCTATTTCCGTCCAAGCTTTATCGCCACCAAAAAGTAAACAGGGAAAACAGTACAGAGCATTTTTTTGTTGCATCCACAGATCCATTCGTTTTTTCAATAAATATCTCTATTATATTTTCGTGTGTAACTTTTTCCTCTACTTACACCAGTTTTTTCTATAATTATATCTGGTAATGGCCTACCTTTTGCTTTTAATTCCATATTTTCTTCGTATTTATATTTAAAAAAATTTAGAAGACCACTTCCATAGTACACAGATAATTGTCAGCAATACACAAAAACACAATAAACGCACCCTTAAAATTATTATTTTTAACTTTAACTCGCCGTAAACTCAAAAGTCGCGAAAAAATTCGAAAAAATAGACACCGTACGTATTACGCGCTGACCTGGACTAATTGCAGCGAACTCTCCACTTAAATCATCGGTTTGTTTTAACCATGGGCGCGAGGGTACCGGAGTGCCGCGAGGGTGTTTAAAAGAGCGCACAGAGCTTCATCATGTAGCCCAGATAAATAATAGTTTAGCGACAGCCTGTGCAAGTATGTGTGTCGGTAGGTAGGTAGGTAGGTAGGTAGGTAGGTAGGTAGGTTATTCCACTGGTCGACTTTACGTACACGGTCGCCAGCGATGCCGACGCTTCGTCAGCAGTTATTTTTAAACATTATTACAATACGAATATAATTTATACGTTTTCTTTTTGGTAATGGAAATATTTGAGTTAGATTATGTATTTAACAGTTTTTGGGGAGCTCTGCAGCACTGAAGCACTTATCCACCAGCCGCCACTGTGCTCTACCGACATATGTGCCCCAAAAAATTATTCAGATTTCATCTTTGTCAAAGTTGGTTTAAAAAAAATTAAATGGCCCCAGGCCGCACAAGTTAGGTAAATTATTTAAGTTTTTTTTATTTTTCCGGTATTAACAATGTAAATAATGAATAGTACCTAGCAGTGTCCGGTACTCACTCAACGCAACAGGTGGTAAATATTGAGAAGGCGCCCTTTTCTTAATAATACATTTTTTACAAATCTCACATTTTAAGCTTTAGGAAGGAGAGTGCCTACTTTTCAAATATACTACCGGAAACCTCATAAATTCACATTTTTTTAAATTTATATATTATAGGTTTATGAGAATCATTAAGGGATCATTTATGTGAACGTATTTATTAGAATTATATATGTCATGCTATCATTACAAATGCGCGGTAGGGGAGGTCCGCTAACAGTGGCCACCCTTTTTTATAAATTGACATAAGTTCTAAACTGAGCATATTTACCACCTCCAAATTAGCTTGTAGAGAGTGTCATTGATATAGAAATGCAAGTATTACCACTTTTACCCAAAAAGTTTTGTACAGTTCAAGAAAAAAATTATCGAAAAAAAAATTGATTTTTGGTCACTGTACCAACTAGTATGGTACAGTGGAAAAATTTTAAAGGTACAGTGGACAGACAACAACTTCTACTAAAAATATTTTTTATTCGGTCAAAACATAAAACATAAACATAGAATTCATGAAGCAGATCATAAATTCAGTCTAATATAGATTGTAATTAGTCAGGTCCGTGGAAAAGTGATGGTACCGTTGAACTCTTGCGGTGCCTCCCGTCGATACCGGAGTTGGTAATGACATCACGATATCTTCTGGTGGGACAGTCGACTGATCTGGAACATCAGGAAAAGAAAACTTGTTTTCTCGTCTTTTTCTTAGAAAGCTAACACTATATTCTTTAAACCTGTTATCGATGTCCGTAACTAAGATAAAGCTTCCGACCAAAATTTCACCATCGCAATTCTGATCTATAGGTTCTTCAGTCCAATCAATATCGTCAGAGTCCGTAAGGTTCAAGCTTTCGGTATTAGATTCTGTATCGCTACTATCGTCATTCCTTGGAGCTAATGTTTTTGACTTGGCTGTCTCTGTATTAAAGCTGAAAATGTTTCTTGTAGTAGACTTGCTTTTGTTTAAATTTTGTTTCCTGGATTCCTTTAAGCGCTCCTGCTCTTGGATTTCCTTCAATATCGGAGTGTTGGTCAATATTTCCGTAGTTTTTTTTTGTCTTTTTGTCCCATTTTTTAATCTGATTCGTTTTTGGGTATGGCCTTAAGGCATCGGGACTAAAAACTTTTTGTGGTGGAGTTATCTCTTTTTGGTTTTGAAAATCTCTACAGCTTGGGCCCGCTTCTTCTAGTAGGCTATTTTGTTTTTGTGGTGTAACTTTGGCAGTGTCTTGGCTGGAATTAATTTCTTCTGGTTCATTATCTTCTTCGAGAGGTATGTCAGTAACTTGGGCAGCCAAAAAATCATCGTCAATGAAAATTTTTAAATTAAACGGGTAAATTCCCGTAGCTCTGAAACCTGATGCACAATTATTTGTGGAAAATGCATTGCTATAGATCTGGCCTAGAATTTCAGCAATGTCATATATGCTTATGCGTTGACCAGGATGGTTCATCAACCACGAACGGCAGGCCCTATTATAGTGCGATTTCAGCAGACCATAGACAGCTCTGTCCAGTGGC